AGAGAGAGAGAGAGAGAGAGAGAGAGAGAGAGAGAGAGAATGAGAGCACTAATGACATTTTAAAAGGTGCAATCAATATCCCTGCAACAGGTGAAATTGGGTCATATGATATGACAAGGGTGTAGAAATGTAGGTCTTCAGATGTTACTGGACCATGTCGTTGGAGGTTGTGGTGGACAGCTTGATGAAAGTGGCAGTCTGGAGTCATCTCGTGAAACTGACTGGTGGGAGATTCAGGACCGATGAAAGGAAGGACAGTACATAATTAAATGGTGGAATTTTCTACAAGACGCAGTGATGACCATCAACAGAGATGGCTTTCAAAGGGGACTGGACAAACTTATGGAGGAGAAGGCTCCTCCATCATTGATTGTGTTGTAAGCCGCCCCGAGGCTTCGGCAAGGGGTGGCATAGAAATGTTCTAATAATAATAATAATAATAATAATAATAATAATAATAATAATAGTAATAATAATTACTAGTCATGATGGCTAGATGCAATTTCCTGTATGCCCGTGTGCACCAGTGGCTGAGGGGCACAGCCAGGTGGGTGCTGATGCACTCTTTTTCTGCTTAGGAGTTTTCTGCTGGCAGCTGGACAGCCACTGCATGAACAGAACGCTGGCATAGCTGGGCTTGCAGGCTGATCCCAGGTAGCACTTCCACTCTTCTTAAGGCTGCTTTAATCAACAACAAAAACATTTCTATTTGCGGGTTGTTATTACTCCTCAGGAAGCAGGTGGAATGGACAGACACTTTTTCAATTATCATAATTGTTTATGGAGAACTCTTCAGAGACATCAGGCCCTCTAAAAAGTATTGTTCTTCTTTTGTAAACCTGAAATACATGATTCTTTTCTTATTCTAGTGTTCTAGTACTTTTAAATTATTCTAGCATTTTATTCTAGTAAGTGTGACTGTCGCTATTTAACCTTTGTCAACATGCTGTGAAAATATCGTGTTTTTCCTTTCAGGTGTTAGTCTTCAAGTGTTCTGACAAAAATCGGTTGTTTCCCAATTTATCTCTTTATTCTTCCTTTTTTTCCGTAGTTATGGAACACATGTCACCCACCAGAACTGGTGCGCCCGACACTGGAGAACACGCTAAAGATCTTGCAGCTGGACTACGTTGATCTTTACATTATTGAGTTGCCAATGGCTTTTAAGGTAAAGAGATGAGTTGTGTTAGAGCTCCTCCTAGTGTGCTTAAAGATGAGCTATGAACACTAAGAGCAAATCTACAGGACAGAACTACTGATTCACATGAACACGTTCTCCTTCGGTGCTTCCTCATAAACAGGTGTGTAGGTGATCACTATTTGAACAAAATCTCTAGCTGCAAACCACACGTTCACAGGGGTGAATCAGTGGCCAGCAGTCTGGATGGGCCAGCAGGATTGGCATGAGAGAGGAGGCTGCCCCTAAACAACAATGCTTTGCAGGCACACCCTGCCATGCGCCCCCCGCTCCCCAAAAGGACTTCTTTAGGTGTGACTGTATCAGGATTCCCCCTGCGAAATGGAAGCTTCTGATTGTGGAGGCTTTCGAGATTCCTGCACCCTGCCAGGGTGCTTCCAACTGAGTAAGAAGAGAAAAGGAGGCAATTTTTGCTTCTTTATCCTCTGAAAAATGTCTAGATAGACCTCGGAGAATATCTGGAGGGGATATGCTTCCAGGAATGAGGTCAAAGGGTTCTGCGGACCCTCTGCTCACCCTGCCCCACCCAGTGGAACGTTCCCTGTGGGACCTCCACCAGGTGATCCAAAGTAACTTTTACAACCTCAGAAGGCAGGTGTTGTGGTTCTTTGCACAGTAGCTGTGCAAGGAGGGGGAGAGAAACTGGATCAGGAACTCCCCTCCCAAAGTTGCAGCAGGATCTACAGCTTTGGGAGGTGAAATTGAAATATCCTATGAACTGAGATGTCCTCCCAGGGACCAAAGGATTGCTCCCTTAATCAGCCACTTACTGCTTGCTGTTACGAGTTCCCTGATGTTATTTGTTGCTGCTGTTGCTGTAATGAGTAACAGTAATAGTCAAAGTCATATAACCAAAATTATTTAAATACACATTTGCTTACAATATTTTGCTTGCGCTTCCTTTCTCACCTGTGGAACGACCAAACAAATTAGTATATGAGAACATCTCCTTAAATTATAATATGGACCCTGGTCAAATCTCCTTGGTTGCTAAAATTAAAACTTTTTTTAGGGTTAGGGGTAGGAAAGCGAACAGCTGGTTCAAAAAAAAAATTTTTTTTAACTGTGCCTAACTCTACACAGCCAAGGCCTATCTCAGCTGTAGGGGTTAGGCAACCAGGCACATTTCAGATATTTTGCAATGCAAGTGTCATAAGCTCTAGCCAGCAATGGCTACTGTTCAGGTATTATGTGAGTATAGTACAAACTGTCAGTAGGGGATCAGGTGTCCACCTATACTCCATGAGGCTTGGGCATGGGTATCCAAGGACTACCACAAGAACATGATGGGCCAGCGCCACCATCACCTGAGAGCCTTCGCCAGGCACCCAGCTATCAGGAATCAGATGGGCAGTGAGTGAGGGAAAGGGCTTTTCTAGCTCCAGAGCCCTACCACTAGAACATACGTCCAAAGACACTCACTTGGTGCCACAGCTGATCATGCATGGGTGCCAGTGGAGAATCTTCTTTAATCTACCTAATCTGATTTAGTCCTCTTGAAGTAGTTATTTGATGATGATGATGCTCATGTGATTTAGCTGCTATTATCGCTGTTCCATTTTCTCTACTGTCCTGTTTTGGAAGTTTTTGTAATAAGGCATCAAATGGAAGCAAATTTGGTTTCTCTATGTACTTTGAGAAAGCAATATTTTCTGCCTTGGTCTTGAACAAGGGATAGCTAGCTCACCATAGAAGCTACTATTTTTCACCTGTTCTCCCAGTCAATTTACTCATAGATTTTTCTTCTGCGCTCTTACAGTCTTTCTAATGCCCTGAACGTATTCCTCTACTCACACCAGACTCCTTGCCTTTCCTCCATTCACCATACTTCCACTATCTTTGGGCAGAACAGTAAATGAAACTTGCAGTGTTTGAATTATGTATTTAGACTTACTTGATAAGTGGAGAAAAATATGAATATTTGGGCTACCTATGTTGAAATTTATGCATAATTATTTTAACAACCTTAGTATGTCTTGTTATGAACTAATACATGAAGATATGTAACATATATGTAAGTACTGTACAGCTGGTTCTCTGCTTCTTTTATTACTTAGGACCTTCTTTACTTCTTTTCTCTTCCATACCTTGCCTCCTATTCATTTTGTCTTTCTCCCATTCCCTGCAATACTTTGAGATGCATGGAATAATGGTTACCAAAGGTAGCAAAAACCCCTTCAGGTTAACCTGAGGCTTTTTCTTTCATCTGGCCTTCTTCTGCATTTCCCCCTTTGAAGCTAACAGCTTCTTTGTCTGTAAAGCATTTTTTTGTGGGGGGGGGCTTCTTCAGTTTGTCATGCGATTGTTTCCTCTTCTTATCTAGACTGACAAGCTTTGAAGAAAAGGAGGAATTGTAACTCATGTTAGTACGTCTTGTACTTTTGTGATTGCTGGTTGCAATTCTTCATTTGTCTCTGAAGCTCTATTAATAGGAAGTATCATCGTATCTAAAGAGGTGTTGTTTAATATGGCACACAATCTTTGGCTGAATCCTTCATTTGGTTTAAACATGCCTGCTTCTTTGCTGAGCCTCAGACCTTCAGTCTCTCAAATACCCCAGGACAAAAGATGCATTGAATTTGTACCTAATATTTCTTTTTTTAATTGATTAACCCAGTACTGTTACAGTATCTTGACAGCAATTATGTTTCAAAAATGCAGAGTTGTTTTCATGATTTATCAAGATGTTATTTGGAGCAACTGTAGAAATTGTTCCATTCCATTTGAAATCCCCCGAAAGAATCAGTGAAAAAAACGTGAAGAAACATAGAGTTTCTTCCTCAAAATGTGAGAGAGTGAAAGAGAGTGCCCATAGACCTCTTACTGTCACCCAATGCATTTTGGAAAATGTGCGTGTGTATTTGTGGGTTGTTGGGGGTTTTTTTGGTTTGGAGCCACATACAATGCTGTAATTATTTGGTGTTACTCCACAGCTTCTACAAACAGATAATATTCTATGTAGTTATGCAAATAGCTGTTGCTGTTCTCCCCATTTCCTCTTTGTTGGCAATGCAAAAGGCGCCATCTAACCCCCAGGGTGAGTTCCATGAACAGTGAAAGACTAACTGGGCCCCAGCCCTCAGGCAGAGAATTATCAGCCCCAAAACACGGTCTTCTCCCTCCTGCCCCTGCCCTGAGCTGTTCTCGGACAGTAGGGGTAAGGTGGCCTCTGGGCTCTGTGGCAGGCGCTCAGAAAAGCAAGGTATTCATTGCTTTAATGTATTAAAAGTCAGCTTGTAGATAATTTGAGACAAAGCAATGCTTATGTGAGAAAATAATCAGAGTTTTGTTTGTTTGTTTTATCGCATTTATTACTTGTACCTTCTGCCCCTGCTTTCAGCACCCGCTTCTGCACACCACTTTCTGACTTCCCGCAAACCCCAGATTTTATTTCCCCAAGGTGTGAGAAGAGAATATTGGTACATTATGGCTCTCTTTCAAAATCCTCCATAACACCTTTCATTTTTCCAGCCTGGAGCAGTCATTTATCCTAGGGATGAAAATGGGAAATGGCTATACCATGAAACCGACTTGAGTGCCACTTGGGAGGTGAGGAACAGCTGCAAAGCTTTGCTTTGACATGGTCATAGTATTGTATTTCCTTAGATGGGTCCGAAGAACATGTAGCCTGCCAAATGTCTGGGCTTAGTACTTCCATTATGCCCCCCTCTTCACATCAGCTCTGCTTGGCTAGGGCTGGTGAAAGTTGCAGGCCAAAAACACCTGCAAGGTCACAACTTGCCTACCCTTTTTAAACCAGATGTACTAATACATCTCAGTAGCACAAGCCAAAAGTCCATCCTTTCCAGTTCTTGGCCTCCAGCAGCAGCCAAGCACATGTCCTTAGGAAATTGCACCGTGGGGTCAGCCAATGCTATTTTTTGTTGTTGTTGTTCAAGCTTTCCACCTCCACCCGCAAATATCTATTAATCAGAGACAGCACCTCAAAACATAGGGGTTCTAAGTGTCATAGCTAACTGATTTTGAGAAATTTGTTCTTTGAGAATTTCTGTAAATCCAACCTGAAGTCCTCCAAACATTTTAGATGGAGTATCAATTCTATCCAGCATGGTTCTATAGGGACGGAGGAAGCAGTAGCTGAGGAAAGCTGATGCAAAGCATCCTTTTAAAAATAAGACATCTCTTCCAAATGCTATCACCAATTAATTCTCTGAGTGATGTGCAGCACTGAAAGAGGGGCTTTGAGCTTTTCAGAGTTCACATTTGTCCAAGATTTGTCAATAACAACTTACCTGGTTGGCTACCTGCTTGACAAATGTTGCTAGGCAACTGGGAAGGGATGCATTCCTAACAAGGAAAAAGAGTAGATACTTTCAGCCCATTTCATGCAGAAGTGCAGAGGATACATTGCTCTTTTCTGACTTAACCAACCAAAGTTAGGAGGCTGCAAACAGTAGAGCATTGCTGTACATGGAAATCTGTGTGTGATGTTCTGAGCATATATAACATGCCTATTGTTCTCCAATATGACAAGAGAAGCTGTTGTTTTTGGTTAATGCCAGATATGTTGTACTATTTATTTATTCATAAAATTTGTATACCGTCCAATTACTTATGTCTCTGGATGGCTTACAGCATAAATAAATTGACGACCCACTCTGGCTGCAAGTAAATAAAATACAATAATCAAATTCAATATTAAAACATATTAAAATATTGATTAAATAAAAAGGTCTTAACCTGGCACTGAAAAACATAATGACAGTGCCAGGTGGATCTCTCTGGGGAGCACATTCCATAGTTGGGGTGCCACCTCAGAGAAGGCCCTCTTCCGGGTACTCTGTCTCCTAACGTCTTTCAAAGAGGGTTCCTAGAGGAGGGCTTCTGTTGCTGATCTAAGGGGGCGGGAGGGCAAATAGGGAAGAAGGCGTTCCTTTAGGTATCCTGGTCCCAAGCCATTTAGGGCTTTATAGGTAATAACCAACACCTTGAATTGAGCCTGGACTTCAATGGGAAGCCAGTGGAGCTGGTAGAGGACTGGGGTTATATGAAAATAACGCCCAGTCTCCCAACAGCAACCTGGCAGCTCTGTTTTGCACCATCTGAAGTATCTGGACTGTCTTCAAGGGCAGCCCCATGTAAAGAAATCCAGCCGGGAAGTAACCAATGCATGTGTTACTGTTGCTAGGCAATCTTCCTCCAGGTAGGGATGCAGCTGATAGATTAGCCAAAGCTGAAGGAAAACGCTCCTCGCCACCGCTGTCATTTGAGCTTCCAAGGACAGCTCCAGGTCGAGGAGCACTCCCAAGCTTGTCCTTTAGAGGGAGTGCAACCCCGTCCAGGGCAAGGCCCAAGTCACCTACCCAGGAGCTCGAATCACCCACCAACAGAACCTCCATCTTATCTGGACTACAACCCCCAGCATCTTCCAGGCATGAGCATTGCAGTTCAACACTTCAGGAAGGCACCAGGTTTCTGAAGTCTGTATTAACCTGTGTTAGTTTGCTTGCTCCTTTTGGCATAAGTTCTTGAAGGCCCAGCCCTCCTTCATTGGATGCATGAGGCTGTTCTCCTGAAATTTGCCCTAGATGCCAACTACACATGAGAGCATCAGTGCTGGGTGAGCACTTCCCATGTGCTGCAGTGTCATGACTTATGTTCTACTCAAACATTTTTGTGTCTTGGTGCACATGTTCCCCATATACTTTCATAGGACTTTGCCAAGTGATTGATGTCGTAGAAACAGAGAGTTTAAAGGAGTATATGCATATAAATATGAGAAATTAAAATATAATTAATGCTGCAGATAAATGGAATAGTTTATTATTTACTGGAATAGGCACTTTGTTGTTGTTAGTCGCGAAGTCATGTCCAACTCATTGCAACCCCATGGACAACATTCCTCCAGGCCTTCCTGTCCTCCACCATCCCCCGGAATCCACCTAAGCTCACACTGCTTCAGTGACTCCACCTAGCCACCTCATTCTCTGCCGCCCCCTTCTTCTTTTGCCTTCAATTGTTCCCAGCATTAGGCTCTTCTTCAGTGAGTCCTTCCTTCTCATTAGATGGCCAAAGTATTTGAATTTCATCTTCAGTATCTGGCCTTCTAAAGAGCAGTCAGGGTTGATCTCCTCTAGGACTGACTGGATTGATTGCCTTGCAGTCCAAGGGATTCACAGGAGTCTTCTCCAGCACCACAATTCAAAGGCGTCAATTCTTTGACACTCAGCCTTCCTGGTCCAACTTTCGCAGCCATACATTGCAACTGGGAAAACCATAGCCTTGACTATACGCACTTTTGTTGGCAGGGTGATGTCTCAGGTATGATTTAGGCCATACCTGAGTGGCCTAGTGCTTTTCCCTACTTTCTTCAATTTAAACTTAAATTTTGCAAGCAGAAGCTCATGATCTGAGCCACAGTCAGCTCCTGGTCTTGTTTTTACTGACTGTATAGAGCTTTTCCATCTTCAGCTGCAGAGCACATATTCAGTCTGATTTCTGTGTTGACCGTCTGGTGATGTTCATGTGTAGAATCATCTCTTGGATTGTTGGAAAAGAGTGTTTGCTATGACCATTGTATTCTCTTGACAAAATTCTACCAGCCTGTGCCCTTGTTGTGGGGTCGTAACTCACGTCCCCAATTACTCACACAGACGCAGGCAATAAAAACTAAAGACCTTTATTCCAAATGACTGCAAGATTTATGTTTATGACAGATAGTGTAGGAGCTACCTCAGAGAGCTCCAAGCAACACAGTTGCCCCCTCCTTTCTGACCTCTCTGAGATTTGCCACGTGGTCCTCATACGTCCCTCTCCATGGGGGTTGGACAAACGTCTTTCTCTCCTTCTCTGTTCTAATTGGTCTAAGCGTCAAAGTCTCTGCCTGAGTTGGTCACATTCCATGACAACCGGCTCCCCTTCCTGATTTCCGGGAACAATCTCAAACACTTGAGACTCATGTGGCGTGGGGGGGGGGCTGTTTGTGCGTGGGCACCAAGTATAAATCTCCCTGCGCTAAAGCCTGATCCTTGCTGGGGGCTTCTGGCCCTCTTTTGTGTGCTAACGCCTCCCCCAAGTCATTAGGCACGACAGCCCTGCTTCATTTTGTACCCCATGGCCAAACTTGCCTGTTATTCCAGTTATCTTTTGGCTTCCTACTTTAGCATTCCAATCCCCCATGATGATAAGGACATCATTTTTGAGTGTTAATTCTAGAAGGTGTGTTGGCCTTCATAGAACTGGTCAACTTCAGCCTCTTCAGCACCAGTGGTTGGAGCATAGACTTGGACTAATGTGATGTTGAATGGTTTTCCTTGGATTCGAACTGAGATCATTCTGTCATTTTGGAGGTTGTTTCCCAGTACTGCTTTTCCTACTCTTTTATTGACTATGAAGGCTACTCCATTTCTTCTGAGGGATTCTTGCCCGCAGTAGTATACCTGATGGTCATCTGAATTAAATCCACCCATTCCTGTCCATTTTAGTTCACTGATTCCTAAGATGTCGATGTTGAGTCTTGTCATCTCTTGTTTGACCACATCCAGCTTGCCCTGATTCATGGATCTTACATTCCAGGTTCCTATGGAGTATAGATCTTTACAGCATCAGACTCTCCTTTCACCACCAGATACATCTGCAACTGAGTGTCCTTTCAGCTTTGACCCAGTCACTTCATTCTTCCTGGCGCTACTAGTACTAGCCCTCTGCTCTTCCCAGGTAGCACATTGGACACCTTTCAACGTGAGAGGCTCATCTTCCAGTGTCATATCTCTTTGCCTGTTGGTACTGTCCATGGGGTTTTCATGGCAAAGATACTGGAGTGGGTTGCCATTTCCTTCTCCAGTGGATCACCTTTTGTCAGAGCTCTCTGCTATGACCTGTCCGTCTTGGGTGGCCCTGCC